CATTCCTGTAAGTATACGTGCATGACTAAGGGTAAGAAATCTTATTGAGAAGGCATAATTTCAACAAGCATTTCAGATGTTACTGCATATTATTTTTAGAAGTTGTTTTTAACAGCTTGCCCTTATACCTAGTCATGTGTAGAAGGAGAAATAGATGTTGGAAGGAGAAGTGCTCAAAGTATTCTGTATTCCCCTTAAGCAGTGTAAAGCAAAATGGGGGTTCACAACACCCATTTACTTAGATGTCTCATGTCCTGTAGTCTTCATATATTAGTAGTCTGTCTATCCACCAGCCTGTTTTTCATGAGACTGACTGGCATCTACCTGGGGCAGGATGTAGGGCTTGAAATGCTATTTGGATATTCAACTGAAGACCATAAATGTGCAGATATAGTTGAATACCTTTGGTTGCCTAGCTTGGGTAGTGGTAAGTAGTATGGTTGTGATGAAGCAGCATTTTTACAAAACCAAGTATCCTAGCTGAAAAACAAGTTCTACCAGTCTCAACAGAAGATGAAGTTAAATATACTGTTTTGCACCCTGTAGCAAGCTGGCTTTGGCTTCCTACCCCATACCAGAGTTTAACACAGAGCAGATATGAGCAAACTAACCTCACTTATGAGGTCTTACCTTAGTTGCTGCATGTCCATCAAGTTTGCCAAGGAGAACCATATTTACTTCATGCTCTTAATAAGTCTGTGGAGAAGACAGTGCTGTACTATGCTGCCCAATTTCTCCTTTCAGATAGTGAAGTTCAAAATACTTTGGTTCACTTTTTCCTCAGATAATCAACCAGACAAATTACAGTGGCTGTTACACAGAAACAGAAGTGATGTATTTTTTTTAGTTGCATCTTGCATTGTTCCAGAGGCCATGTAGAAATCTCCTAATTACTTCCAAAGTCTTTTTGGGGAGCTACTGTCAGAGTAGCTTGACCATGTTAAATCAGTTTGAGATGGCAGTGAAAGGGCTATATAGTAACTTTTTCCACTCTTGATGATTGTGAGGTTTCTGCACCCATTGGCTACTGTAAATTGGTAGCAGAACTCTAACTTCCTGATTTGGCTTGTGTAATATTCCTAATGAAAATGATTCTGACTCCCAGTTTCAAAGCAAGTTTAAAGATCTACTTCAGAGCTTCAAGCGGTAGTTGTGAATCATTAAATTACATGTAAAGGGAAATAAGCTTTGAGGACTGACTTGCTACAAGGAATACCTGTAACTACGCAATCTGATTTAGTTGTGGAGTTCTTGTTTAATATCTTACTTCATGTGCCTGGATGACCCTTTATGTGTAGCTCACATGACAGGTACGACAGTATCTATTGTGAGTTCTCTCAAGGCTGAACTATAAAAAAACACTATTATATCTGTGTGGAGAAACTGGTGGCTAATATGAGTTAATTACAAGAGCCACCTTGCTGTGGCGTATTTTCCAACATAATTTGGCCATAGACATTTTGATGAATTTTTTTAGCTATGAGCACAGTTGAGAAAGTAATATAAAATGTCAGGAGATATCAGCACATTTCCCTGTATAAAGCTGAACTTAAAACTTGCAAGTGATAACACAGTGTATTGAGGCATGTAGTTTTGGTGCAGGTGTAGAAGCTTGCTTCTGCTGATGGGTTTGTTGAATACACCAAAAAGACAATAACGCACAGCATAGAGAAATTTCTTGTAATCACTCAGTGACTTAAGCTTTGTATGGGACAGTTTACCAATTTTTATCACCTGGTAAATGTCTTTCTGCAGATTTGGTGTTGGTCTTGCCATAACGGTGCTGCTCTTCTCAAAATGTCTGCATTTCCCAAAGAACAGGATGACAGCACTTCACAAACACAAAAAGCCTTCTTGGATGGGTCAGTAATAGCTATTCTGTCCACAACACTTTGCTTGGTATGGACCTTGCTTCTCTTTTCCCATATATTCTATATCTTTAAGCTTGCACGCATCAGGAAACAAGATCTAGATCTAAAAGTAGTTTACAGTAGTAGGAATGGGTTTAAGCCCTTGGCCTAACAGCATTGGTCAATTGTGCAGAACTGTAACATCACTGAAGGCTTATTTGCGGAAATATGTGTGTGTGTATATATATATCAGATGAATCTGTACAAATTGTGGCTTGTTATTAGGTAAAGCAGCACCAAAGCCAGTAGGTTAAGTACAGTTCAAGTATCATTAGCTGATGGGCTCAATTGTGTTTGCAAGTAAGTGAAGTCTAGGCTTCCATCTCTAAACGTGAATTTGCAAACAGTTTTAAATCCCTCTGAACTCTATTGCCTTCTCAGGACTAGATTTGTGTTCTTAAATAACTTTAGATAAAGTGACATAAAATGACTGAGGCAATCTAGCAGTTCACTACTGCTACTTTCAGATGTGACGGCAGACAGCACTTTGCTTCAGCTGAGTTAGTGACCTGAATTAGCTCAGCAGTCTGAAAAAGTCAAAGTTAACATAAGGGCAAGAGAGCACAGCTGCCTGGCTGAAAGTTAAAACAAAAAGACTTGTTTGTCTTTTTTTCTGGCTTTTTCTAATCTGTTGGGTGTCCTGGAGAGAGCTTCTATCTTAGCAACAAGCTATTAGATCAGGCTAGTATCTACTGTTTGTACTGCTTCCCTGCTAGCTCCTTTCTCCTTATAGATGGAGAACCTGTTAATCACACAGAACTAACAGAAAACTTGATAAGACTCTTAAAACCTCTTTTGTTTTTAGAATTAATTATACATGCATGGGAAAGGCTTTTGATCTGTCCTGCAGATCTCTAATATTTCTCCCCTGAAATGGGGAAGTTTACATGACTTACAGCTCTTTGTAATGCTGTTTCATAGTGTGAAAGTGACTAAAACTAGCAGTAAGCTGTAATAAAGTATCAAATAGTATTTTGATCTCTTGTCTGTGGCTGTCTGGACTCGGGGCAGTATTGGGGAGCTCTGGTGGTTAACCACTAATGTTTAAAAATATATCTACAAATTGTCCATAAGTGTGTGTTAACATGGCATTGTAATAGTCGTCTGAACTCAAGTACACAGCAGATATTTACAATTAACAGCTTCTTTTATTGTAAAAGTTGTTTAGAGCCAGATCTTCTAGCACAAATTGTTTACTTCAATTTGGAAGAAGTATCGTAAGTGACAATTGATTGCTTTCCCTCAGTTCTCTTATCTGATGCATCTTCCAGTAGGTCTAGTAACCTGCATTTCCATGTGGACTCCTGTAGTTCTCACTGAAAGCAGGCTTCTGTGCTACCACATAGAGGAACCAAAGTATTCTGTCCTGTCCGGGCACGTGCCTGCAAGGCTTCACTTCTGAAGTATGAGCTAGAGCAGCTTTTCCTAAATCTTGACAATAAAAAGACAGCATGACAACAGAGGTATTTACTAAGCTGATGTTCATCTGACCTCTGGAGCCTGAATGAGAAGGATGTTCTGGGTTCAAACCAAAGCTTCATCTGGCCTGGTATTTTTTCCTCTCCTCCTAGGGAAAAATTAGCAGATATGTAGGGGAGTACAAGGTAGGTATACTGTCTTGTTTGAGTCCCAACTGTTTCTTCTTTCTCACTTGTGTTTCATTAGCAGACCTGGCAGTGAGGTATCAAAATATAATTTGATTGGTAAAAGTCAAGAAAAAATTTGAGTGTCTGTGGGCAGTGTTGGATTTTTCTATCCATATCCTCTTTCTGGATTTATCTCTAAGTAGCCCGCTAGTAAAGTAATTTTGGTGTGTCTAGTGAAGACAATACTAAAGAAGCAGTAATAAAAATCAAGTAATGCTTGTAATATTTACAACTGCACAGATATGCACAGATATAATTTTCTTGGTGTAACAAAGCAGCAAAACTTGTCATAAACTTGTAGGCAACCTTCCAGCCAGTATTTAAAAGTTCATGGAGGTCATTCGCTTTCCAGGGTGTATATCTTTTCATCTTACAGCTGTTTCTCAAACCATGCCTGTTACCTGTCTTCAGTCATAATAATTGGTGCATTATTTGACTTGTGAAGCAGAAGGCTTTAATCTCTTAATGATTTGATTTAGAATCTATAAGACAATTAGCAAACCTCCCTACGAACTCCTGAAGACTGATGACTTGTCAAGCAGCCTTCCATCTCTGCAAGATATCCAGACTGCATACACAAAATTTAAACAGCTGTTTTTGATAGGTAAGTCAAACTTTAGTCTTTTGTCTCTAAAGCAACTGAGATGCAAAGCATAACAATGCTCTTTTGTGTCTCATGAATGCAGTCCTTGTCCTGATAGGTGTCTTGCTTTTGACAGTGGTTAAAAGCAGACTTTTAAATATGAAACTGAAGATGGTGCTTATGACTGGCACGTTAATGGAGACTTGTAGTTCTTAGACTTACTACCTCTTGCTAAGCAGCCACAGTATCTGAAAATGACTTTTAAATAGAGTGACCATAGAGTTTAAATGTTAGTTGGATTGAAATTTAGGGGACAGATTTTTCAGTCTTCTGTAGTCCATTGAAATTCAATGTTAAATATTAACCTTTCAAGCCTTTGTGCTATGTCAAGAGCTGAGTGTAAATATGAATTAATTTTTGCCCTAGCTTTTGTTACAAACTAGTCAGTTCTCAAAACATGAAGCATGAGCTTGCTTAAAATTCTGTCACTCTGACTGTAGGGCTAAACATGACTTCTGTAAATAGTAAGTCCACTTAAAAAGATTAAAAATGGGAGCCATGTGAAAGTATAATCTAGGCTTTCAAACTGTTTTCTGGGACTCTTTAACTATTTTGTTGTCATGAAACAGTACTTTGACCTCACCTCTTGGCATGAAAAAAGCTCCACACCACCTTGCAACTGTGCAATGTGCCGTTAGGCCATTTTTGGACAGTGGGTCTTCTACAAGATAATGAGAGTAAATGTTGCAATAACCTCTTTCTGGTGGTATGCTGAACACTGGGGCAGATCACCTGTGGCTATTGGTGTTGCACATAACTGAACTGATCATCATTGAGGAACTGTATACTTGCAATGTAGCCTACAGCCAGTACCCAAGTCCTATTGGTTTTTATACGTGGAATTTAGATGGTAAGTTGATACTGATTGCAAATGAGTGTGAAAGGTTTCTGGTAAATAGGTAGTAAAGATTCCAGTGACACTCTGAAGAGAAGTCTAAGATACATGAGATATTTGGCAGAGTTTCATATTGGGGATTTTTTTCCAGAATACACTGTCAAATCCACAGTGAATCTTAGGAGCTAAAAACAATTACCTGTCTTTTTATGTAGTTTCTGGTAACTTACACTTCTGTAGAAAAAGGCTAAAGCTTGAATTTAAGTCATTCAGCGTCTCTCAGGAAATATTGCATGTTTCAGTGGTATAATTGTATGATTGTCTTATATTACTTGAAGCAAAAGGGAGTATGTTAAAACTCCGTTCCAGTAAATGTTTTTGGCTTACAGCTTTTTAAATAAGCTTTGTTAGTGGACAGTAACTCACTGAATATAGCACTATGCACTAGCAGTCTGAGATAACTGTTCAGGTAACTTCTTGCAGTATTAAGATCTTATAGGAATAGACTACCTTACTACAGTTTTTCAAAGTCTGAACACATTAACCATTATTTTTGTTCTAAACATGCCTAATTTGATTTACATAACTTCCACTGTAACTTAAATTTCCTGAACACATGCCCAAGCTCAAGTTTCAGTTATGAAAATCCTCATTAAGCAAAGCAGAAACCACAATATTAGGCAGCTGCTTGAAAGAGGATTTTAATGGGGAAAGCTTGAATCCTCTTAAATTATTCCTCTTATTTGAAATCATGCAAAGGCAGATCCTGGTTTTGGTAGACTGTTCACAAGTCTCATTGTATGCCATTTCCCCACATACATTAAATGAGATTTTGAATATTTCAGTTCTCAAATCCTAGTGGAGTATTTCTTCATTGTCCTGGAAGATAGGGAGGAAGGGAAAGCTTGCTCTCTATTGTGATGTTATTGAGCAAAATACCTTGATTAAGAGGTAAAACAAACTGCAAATGTGTTGCTGTGCCTTTAAAAATAAGTTCCAGTTTTGACTTGGAGATTACTTTGGCGGGGGGGCAAGAACTGCCAGACTAAGCAATTGTTTGTAGAGGCCTGCATAGAAGTGGTTGAGTCTAATCATGGTTGAGCATGATTGAACAAAACAAACAGCCAGCCACACTTAATGTGGTTACTTAGCTTCCTGGAGTAAAACTCTTCTATGCTATCCATGGTGTAAGAAAGCTAAAGAAAGCTTCGGTATGGAATGTAAATGTTAGCGCTATAGATGAAAGCCTGTTATTTCTACGGGAAAAAAGACAGAAATCCCTTTTCCTTGGTATCATGATTTTTGGGTGGTTTTGAAGGACTAGAAATTAGTACTATAATTTTGCCTTGATTCAGAATGGACAGAGTTTTTTCAAATAGTGATGACAGGCTAAATGGAACATGAGATTTGAGTACAAGGGAATATTCTAGAATTCAGATGGAAAGAGGGTGAACTGGGGAGTAAAGGGTATCTTACCTGAAGTACTGTAATGTACATGCTTTAAAGGGTATCATACGTAAAGGCTTGATGTGAATTTGAAGATGTTAATCAGAAAAAAATTGGAGAAAACTACATCTGTGAACAGAACTGACTAGGGAGCTTGAAGATGCATTCTAATGCCTATTTTGTGGAGAACTAGTTTCTATAGCCAGGGTGAAATGACTCAGGGAAAGAAAGATTTTTATTTTAAATGTGTAATGAACAGAATGAGGGGCACAAGCAGACATGGAGGCAGAACAGCTACAGGAACAAAATAGATAAATGCTTATGCACGTGAGTCTCATAGATGCAAGCTGCAGAAAACAAGACAGAAGTGAGTATGTGTTGTAGGTAAACATTGGAAGCATATTGAGAGACTTTAGGAGGTGAAAAGAAGTTATACAGAAACATGCCGGATTGAAGCTATCAAAGGGAGAGTAGGGAAGGAGGGAGGTGTGGTGTATCTCAGTTGTTTCTTAATAGAACTGTCACAGACCTTGGGCTTCAAGGTTTGTCTCTTATGCAGGAAAGGTAATTTATTATGATTTTAATTGACCATATCAGCTTGCAAGAGCTTTCCAATGTCTGAATACTGACTTTGGTAGAAATAAAAGCAATAGAGATTTAGGTTGCATTTAACCAGCTACAAAAATCCTAGTGAAACTCCTAAGTTTAATGACTTTGTAGTATTGTACTTGGCCTCCTTGTTTGTCTTAACTATTCCCTTTTCAATGTATTTTAATACCTCTTCAGTTGCAGTGAAAACCGTTTAAAACCTTTTTCAGATATAGTCTTACATCCCATGAATTTGTGTAACCCCCCTAAAACCCACTTGTGTTTCTGGCTCCAATTGTAATGGCTTTCAAAATCCAGCCTCCTTATTAATCTTTATATGGATCATGCTTTAGAGTCAAGGCAACTGGAACTTAGAAGAACCATCTCCTTTGATTCAACTCAGTTTCTTTTTCCTTTCCCATTTTGTCAACAGATTTATTTACTTGGTTTGGCTGCTATGAACATACAGCATTTTTTTTCTAAAAGCCTATGATGCTATAAAACTTTACTGGTGTTTGTAGGACTACTTCACTTCCTCATTTAGTTATAAGTTGTTAACTTTGACAGTGATGAGGATTTACTGATTCCTTAGTATTGGCTGTTCTGTAACAGTTCATAACGTAAGAGTAATACAATGGATGGCTGTTAATTAGCACTACATATATGTGAACAAACCAGTTTTGGTTTTCTTTTTGCAGATAACAGTACAGACTTCTGGGCAACTGATGTGAAATGGTTTTCATTACTGGAGAACACAAACTGGCTAGAGATAATCAGGTTTGTTATATCTAATTTTCTGAGTTTCAAATTGTTGTCAAATGCATTAATAGTGGCTTTTCTAGCTAGTTTCTTGAAATATGACGACATTCTTCATCTCTGGTAGGAAAGAAAATTAAGACAGACTTATGGTCCCATTTATGTATCTTATTTCTACAAGAGAAATAAGTGAGACAGTATTTTTACAGTGCAGGTTTGTGTTAAGCCTCCCACATTAAAGGATGTGAGAAGCAGCAGATCATTCCAATTACAACTCTTCCAGCAAACCTATTAAAACTATAGATCCAGTAATTTCCCTCCTGCACTTAGTCACATTCTTTCCAAACTGAAGAATCCTATTTGTTTCTTGCATGATGTGTCTCTGACTAGCCTTGCCGTTCTTCTCTGTACTTTCTACTTCTGTAATATCCTTTAGGACGGGATGAACTGCAGTGTTCAAGATGTTAGCCCACCAAAGATTTATAAAATGACAGTTGTTCTCAGTTTTGTCCCCTTCCTCTCCTGATTGTTCCTCAAGTTCTTTTTTCTTCTCTCAGCAGTCCACAGTGAGTAAGTGTTGGAATGGTGTTGGCTAACTTAAGGCTTGTTATAGTGGAATGTTGAGGGGTTTTATTTGTTTTCAGTGTTACTTCGTGCTAACTCTATTGTCTGCCAGTTTATTGTGTGATCAGCTTGTTACCATGAAGTGCTGCTGCAGTCTTCTGCAATCAGCTTCAGTTCTTTCTAGTCCTAATAAAAATCAATAAATATTGATATTCATTCCTTAATCCAGAATTTAAATGTATGATGAATTAGATCTTCTAGTGAAGATTGTATGTTGAGAAATGCATTGACATAACCAAGATTACAAGTAGCTTAAAATAAATGCCAGCCCAAGTTCCTATTCTTACGTTGTTTTGAGACTGGTCATTTCCCTACTTGGATCCAGTTGTTTCCTGGATCAGCCTTTTCTTGGCTCTTGCAGTTAGATGGAATGCCACCTTAGCTATTCTAGGTGCTAGCATAAAGAATCTGACAACTCCACACTTACAAAATAAACTCTCAGCTTCTATTACTGACCTAAGCAGTTGCAAGAATCCCGATTTGTGTGCACACTTTTTCTGAAAATAACCAATTTTATGAAGAGTTAGGTCTAGAAACCAACAGTGTTACCTCTGGTTTTGTGATCTTTAATTCCACTCAGTCTTCCTTGTTTAATGATAATCTCTGAATAAATTTTGTCTGCATGTTTACAAGATCTGATTGCTGATCCTTCCTTCTGCCTCTTAAAACCAGATTATGGGAGAAATGTAGTATGTAGTAGAACATAAGTGTGGTGACGTTGACAGGATAAAGATCTGGCTTCTAGCAATTGTAATACTTTAGGTTGTGTGTGGTGGCTGCTGTTGATCTAGAATATTGTATTACACATGTACAAACATAACAACTGGAAATGCATGACCAATGGCCAAATAAAGATACCTGTTGAAAGATTGCTTTTGAGGCTAAATGGTTCTTCATTTACACGAGTTGAGCATGGTTTTCGTTGTTTTGAAGCACTAGTCAAGTTTCAGTAATATGACATTTAACCCCTTTTAGGAGAAACTAATGTAAGAAACTGAATTGTAAAAATGATATGAAAATGTTCACTTATATCTTCCTGTACCACAACAGGCGAGTCTTGAAGAAAGCAATAGAAGTTGCTGAGTGTCTGGAAAGACAGCATACAAATGTTCTCCTTATAGGTAAGAATTTAATGAGATTTTTTTTTTAAAGTTTCTTTTGAATTTCTTTAGATGTAGCTTAAGCTGTAAGTTTATAATTATGGTAGAGGCTGGTAAAATTCATAGAGTACTCAAAAGTACCAGACACCTAAATCTCACTCCTGGAAATGCTTCCTATAGTTGAAAAAAACATGGTAAACATAGTTCCAGGCTCAGGGAAATGTGTTGTGCCTGAGAAAGCTGCTGATAAATTGGCAGGAGAGTCATGCTACCTCTTGTTCATGCATTCCTGTTTCTTATTTTATTAAAGGTCTCATCAACCTTTTGCTGTACTTTAAGGGGGTGGAGGGACGCACCTACACAAAGAACACAGAGCATGAAAACTTTCTAAAAGGATGTTTTTATGTTCTAGATACACACTGAATACTCTGTAGTCTCTTTATTAAAAATACACGAAAGAATATGCTTATTGTACACATCTTGAGCTGTTTGTTTTCCTACATTGAGTAAAGTAATCACATGGAAAACCAAACTCAATGTTAACCATTAAGCTATTTTTGGATTAGTAATTTAGTTGTTTTTTTCCACACACTGCCATTTGAGAAACCTAGCATGGGGAAGAGGCGTTTCTAGAAGGCACCTGAAGAGTAAAGAATGCATGTTGCATGAGGAGGCAATTTCACACCTTGTGAAAAGATACATATAGGCTAGGAAGGATAAGGGCAGATAGCTGGCCTGATAGCATAGAGAAGAAGGAACAGTGTGTGCATTGTGGATACTGAAGGGCATATAAAAGCTTGATTTTTGCAGGTTTTATTGTGAAAGTATTATCCTAGTATAAGTGTACAAGAAATCTTACCTTTTTACAAAGGGAAGTATTGGAAACATGGATTAACTTTGTCTTATGCTACAACACTTGCAAGAAATTGTGTACTTCTCTGATCTTGAAATACAATTTTGTTTATGTGAAGCTAGCAATACTTTGCTTTCTTACACAAAGTTTTAGGAATAGCTTAGACAATGTGGTTTCTGTTCTCTTCTGTAGAAGAGAGTGCTACTGATCTCTGCTGTGTAATCTCTAGTCTGGTTCAAGTGATGATGGATTCATACAGCAGAACAAAGTCAGGGTTTCAGAGCCTTATTCAGAAGGAGTGGGTAATTGGAGGACATGGCTTTTTGGATCGTTGTAACCACTTACATAAAAGTGACAAAGAGGAGGTATGAGTTTTTTATTACTTTCCTTACTACTTAAAAGTTTACTTGGCATAAGAAGTGATTTAGATGTCAGCCCAGAAGTTCCAATTACTTTGAGGTTCTTTAATTTTGTTTTGTTTTATGGGTTGATGTTTTCTACAGTGTCACAATTTTTGCTGTTTAGAGTTCAGCAATGTCTTTAGTTATAAAGAGAACAAATGTAAAATTTTGCATTTAGTCTTGGAGTCTTTTGAAAGACCTGTATCTCATGTCCTTTTATACTGTGTTAAGTGATAGTAGTGTCCATAGAAATAACAGACGTGAATTGCCTGTTCTTGTCACATCTAGAATTTAACTTCATGCTGTCTTGCTAAATGTTGCAGTCTCACCTCTTCCTTTTTGTTTATATTTTGGGAATAGATCAGATTGCTGTACAGAATGGAAATAAGTGTAAACTGACTAGTTCTGATCAAGAATTGATATAAACTAGTTTTGCTTTGCCAAGTTTAAAAGGCTGCATAGCAGCAACTTCCATAGCAAGTTAATGTGTGCAAACTCAGATTAAAAAGTGTTCATCTCTTCTGGCCAAGGGTAGCTCAGAGGATACTTCTTCAGAGTTCAGCCAAAGTTATACGCAGCAGTTCATAGTTAACCAGATTGTAAGATTTGTATTTGGAGACACTAAATACTATAAAAATAGTCTGCGTGGTAGAACATATTTTTTTTCTGAGACTGATGTAATATTTTCTCTTCTTAGGCTCCTGTTTTTCTGCTCCTGCTAAATTGTGTTTGGCAGTTGGTACAACAGTATCCGCCAGCATTTGAGTTCACAGAAACTTACTTAACTGTCTTGTCAGACAGCCTCTATGTGCCTATTTTTAGCACTTTCTTCTTCAACTCACAACATCAAAAAGACACTAATTCGGTAAGCATTTGTAATTTTTTGGATGCAGTGTGCTGAACAGGTTTGACCAACAAGGTTTGAAACACTCAGAATTGTTCCCTAGCAGCACGTTTTTCCATACTTATTTGAAGGGTGGTGCCTTGAAGCATGAATAAGTGCAACTTTGGGTGTAAGGATTCAAGTTCATTACTTAAGAGTTCATGATGACAAAAGGAAAACAACTCAAAGATATTACTTCTAATGTGTAGCTATTGCTTCATGTTTATTGCTCTCCAATGAAAATGGAGCTCCTTAACCTGAGAGGAATATCCTGCTGTCCTGCAGAATAAGTTATCTACAAAATTCTTGTATAGTATATTCTATTGTATTCCAAAATAAACGTTTCCTAAATGTTGATTTACATTTGATGCATGCTTTTCTCTAGCCCAAGAAGCTGGAAGCAATGGGAGTATCCTCTGCAACACTGCACAGACACTAAAATAAAAGAGTGAATATCACTGTCTTGCATATAAATAAAGCATTGATCATAAAATTTAAACTTGTAGCACTGCATAACTGCAGTTAACTTTTGAAGTTTGGAGAGGTTACTCCACAATCCCAACATTCCCCATGTGTTTGAAGAATCCAAGTGTCTATCTCCTACCCTACTTCATACTCCTAGTATTTTCAAACTTGTTTTTTCCTTAGATTATTTAATCTTATTGTCAACTGTGAAAGGCATTCTTAGTACAGTCTGATTGCAGTATTGAAATGAAATACTGTCTGAAGTTACAGACAATAATACAAAGATAGTGTTTGTGTCTGTACTCACTCACATCTCATGTTCAGCTATTGAATACACAGAAATCATGAGTGGTGTTGCAACTCTGGCCTTTTCTGTGAAAAGGCAGTTTCTTCATTTCACCTTGACTTGGTCAGAATTCCTTTCTAGCAGTATTAATTCTGACCTATTTGTTTTGGCAGAGCGGTGAAAGCCTCAAGACACAAAGCGGTCCTTTCAGATTTCTCACTGTGTGGGACTGGTCTGTGCAGTTTGACCCTGAGGCCCAAGCTTTCCTGAACAACCCTTTTTATGCAGAGAAGACAAAACCAGATAAAAGTCAACGGAAAACTGCACGATTCAAAGTAAGATATGTGCTGCTTAACTATTTTTTGAGTGACAAAAATATTTTGCACAACTCATAGTTCAAATGTACTCACAGTGGAAGGGTTGGTGCAGAGTTTTTTAATTGACAAAATAGACGTATACCTGAGAGTCACCTGGATATAGTTTACACCCACCTCAGTTATAAATCACTGTTTTACAGTTGCTGTAGATAGCTGTGAACTTAGAGGGGTTTTTTTCTTTATACTTTTGTGCAAGTGTAGTGGTAACTCATGGGACTTAACATCCAGGTGAGTTGCACTGACATGTTTGAAGTGAGTTTTATTTTGTTGTTCCACAGAGTACCTAACTGAAATACACAGCAGGTGTATAATTGCCTCCCTCATTTTGTTTGAGTGTAATTGGAGCATGTGTATGCACTTGGAGGGGGACCACCAACAAAAACTACAGTATGGAAGATTATGGATGGACCACCTCATTACTGGAAAGTAGCAAAAATTCAGTAGGAAAAGTTTGTTTGGAGTAGCCTCTTTCAATTGTAATATCCCTGTTGGTTAAATTCTGTTCTGTACAAAGCATTCTTGAGTGAGAGACTGTCAGTATCATCTACAGCATTAATCAGAGAACTCTTACGCAGTGGGATACAGTAAGGAACCGCTAGATAAAAACTTGTAAATGAAGTGCTCTTTGATTTATGTGACTAGCTTAAACTAAACGTGGAAGTGTGTAATACTTGAATGTATGTGAAGAATCGTAGTTTTTTCAAAGAAAAATGCTTTATTCGGTGTTACTTCATTGCTATAGTTAGAGTTTAGGGAAGGTATCTGGGAATACGAAGTACGCTGTGTGAAGTATTTGGTGTATTAGCCATTGAAGAGTAATAGTTTTAGACTATATAGCAAAGCAGTGGCTGTGTTTAAGTGACTTTGCTTGTAAGTATTTTCTGAATACAGGTTATGCTTTTCTTCCTCTTGAGATGTTTTCTAAAGTCCCATCAATATTTACCTCAGTATATTTTTCTTTTCTTTCCTCTTAAAGCATCAACGGCAACTTTCTTTGCCATTGACACAAACAAAATCTCCCACGAAGAGAGGATTTTTCAGGGAGGAAACAGATCATTTAATTAAAAACATCCTGGGTAAAAGAATCGGCAAGTTCATGAATTCTTCAGATGAACCTCCTAATACCTTCAGGGAATTTTATGATAGCTGGCATAGTAAACCTGTTGACTATCACGGTCTTCTGTTACCTCGCATTGATGGCCCTGAAATCAAAGTCTGGGCACAACGGTATTTACGATGGATTCCTGAAGCCCAGCTTCATGGTGGTGGTACAATAGCTACAGCTGCCAAGATTTTGGACTTGATGGAGGAAGTGCAAAGGCTGCAGGTGAAAATGGATGAACAGCATAGTCAAGCTGTTTCTGGAGATATACATTCTGTTCCAATGCTGATAAATTCTCCCCGTTTGTCATCCTTATTTCCATTTGCTTTACTTCAGAGACAGTCTATCAAACCAGCCTTACCCACTAGCACCTGGAAAGACTTGGAAGACGAAGATGACTTGGTCAAGAGGGATGACGAATTTGTTGATCTAAGTGGTGATGTCATAAAGTGTATATAAATTAACATATGAATTGTATGTGGTGAAGCTCTGAGTTTTAAATGTTGTGCTGCATCCTCATATAAGGAACTCCATCAAGCATCTGCAGCCTGTTTAATGGGTTTGTGGGGTTAAAAAAACCCACCTTGGTTGGAAAGAACTAGTTGCCATAATTAACAGCATATTTTGAACTTCAATTTCACTCTAACAGTATTTATTGCAGAAACACATTTTTAGTATAGTGTAGTAAGAACAGAAGTCTAAGCTGGAGTAGCCATATGGCCACTTTGTTTAAAAAAGAAAAAAAACCACCAAACAACAAAACCCCATTATTTTCTGATGTAAAGGTGGAATACTAAATACACACAGCAACAATTACTATCACATAAAACCTCTTCCCCTTATGTTAAGGGTACTAAAGTAAGGTGACTAAGAGTTTAATAGATCTGCATTTCCCACCCATTTAATATAAACAGGGAAACGTGTAACTAGATGTGCATTCACAAATAAGCTTTTTACAGCTGAGGAGTAAGTTGTGGTCACCAGGGGTTTTCTGTCTACTGTGGCATCAACTGAAGTCATGTGCTTATCAGCCTCATCTTTTCTGACAGTGTTCAACTTTGGCTTGCAGCGCTTCACCTTGTGTGGTATTACAATAGCAGCTTGACTGCTCTAAGCCTGTGCATGCACTTAACTTAAGGATCAGATGCAAGAGCTTAACTACACATTTCAAGTCTTATTGTGTGGCTGCTGTGCTATATGCCCTTGCTGCCTTGGGATATTAAGTCCCATATGTTTGCTGTTAATTGTTAAGAAATGGCCTGACAGATTCTAGTTTTCCATGAGTGTGGTTTTTTTTTCCTTTTAACAGAGTGAGACTTTCGTTTTGATGTTCCCATTTATGCCAGTTGCCTTTGAGGCTTTCCGTAGCTTGCACTGAGACCTTCCACATAGAAGGGAAAACTCTTTTTCTGTAATCGTGCAGTGAAGCTGGACTTGCAGTCTGTTGCCACTTGTCACGACTTGGTGGTACAGCTTATGAATGTGGTGTTCATACCATATGAGCACTTGCATCCTGTTGCTGGATGTTATAACAGTACCTCAGTGAAAAAAGCCATAAAGAAATGCCTGTCGACTTTGATCTACTGTGTGTATGTTTATATATAAAGTATTTTTACTGCAAATAATCATTCTTTGTAAAGCTGAATATTATTTGATTATCAAATCTATTTTGAACCCTTAAATTCTAGAATAGCTCAAGAATGGATGCAAGTTATAAAATCAGTTATACTGAGAGGGTAGACATTGAATATTTTCTCTTTTTTTCATACCAATGTAGAAATCCATGCTGGAAAACTTAACTTGTGGAGAAACTGTTACTTAAATTACATCAGCTCAGTGTAATCGGGGATATTAAGCTGGGTTACTGATTAATCACTTCACACTGAGTTGTATTAATATGTAGAGCAAAAAAATATCAGCAGCCCTCTAAAAATAAATGTTACTATGTTAAAATACATGTATTAATGGAGAAAGGGGGACAGCTTAATGCAACTATGCTAACCTGAAGCCTCCCAACTGCTGATTGCCTTAAGTCTTAGTAGTGCGAGGACAATACTTGAGTTTATAGTGTTTTATTTAAAAATACAATAGTATGTACGCTTTCTTCTGTGACACATGATCTTAGAACTAGCACTTGCTAGAACGGGCTGTCCAGCACATGCTGTTCAGACTCTATTATTGTAGTTCAAGTGACTCATGTATGCAATAATACTTTGCATGTTGAATGAGCAATGCATTTTTATGGCAGAGAAATACCTATCATTCTAAGGTCATTAGGGTTCAAGGGTTTTTTAAACACTGCCATAGAAAAAATATTAAATGGATTTTTCTATGCTTTTGATCAAACTGTTATAATGTTTCAGTCGTGAAGATTACATATTTATATTAAAGAACAGATGTTGGACATCTTATTTGTACATAAGTTAGAAGTTTATATGGAAGAGAAACATATATGTGGAATTGAACATGAGAACACTTCTAATGTAGAGTAAATACCATTGTTACTGGTTTTCTGCACTGTGGGATTGGAAATGTACTTAATATTTTTACTCCAGGCTTCTGTTTATACCTCCAAGTTCTTACACTGAATGCAAGCTAGAAGCTTTACAGTTTGGTTTTTTTATACTGTTATTTCTGTCTAGTGGGCTGTTTGGAGAATGTCAATAAAATATACTTTAATGTATTTGTCCTGAAATGAGAATGTATGTTTAGGGTCATATTTTGCAAATGATGTTTTAAATCATAGCACACTTCTGACAATCTGCAGTGGCAACGCTTTTTGAGTTATATGCTGGATTTTTATAGACTGTTAGAGGGAGGAAGCTGTGTAGTTTTGACCTGGTTGTACTTACTGGAGAGGTGCTGTCAGCTCAAGGAAAATGAAAGTTCAGTGTAGTGTAGTAGGATGACAATGGAAGGTTACTAAAATGGTGTAGAAAGTGTCTGCTGAATTGTCACTATTTGGGGGTTTATTAAAAACACTGTTTATTTTGGTCTTAGCAATGTACTTGTCTTCCCCCATTTTAAGGGGGAACATTGTTCTTACAATGTTAAACTATGCAACTTCTTGAAATTGCTATAGTGGGGTATGTCTCAGACCAAATGTGTATTGAGCATGGATTGGGAACTGGTCAGTGATACGCAGAGTACAAATTGAAAACTTCAGATTTTTTCCAGAGATTACAAATTACTAACTTCTGTACAAAAACAGCACTAGTGCAAATCACAAATTACAAATCATGCCACTGAGAATGTTCAAAGCCTGTGACGCTTGTTCTTGAAGTCTTATACAATAATAGCTGGTGCAGCAGCTGTGAAGTGCTGGGTCATGTTGTAACACAAGGTGTGCATCCGCCTCACCCACATCTAAAGATCGGTGCATGTACTTTGACCATTTGGCTTTGATTTAAGACTGTGTTCACTAGTGAAAATGTTCAACTATTGATGTACACCATATTGGAATGCAAACATGTACTCTATAAAGATAATTACAGCCAACTCTGCCTCCTGATCTCTTGCTCCAGTTAACTTTTTCCATTTATGCCCAAAACATCGAAGCATAATTTCTTCAGGAGGTAGTAGAACACTTTCTGCTCTACACGTCTTATGATGGGTTAGTTTTGTCACACCAAAGGTTACTTTCATTCTAATCTTTAGCTGGAAACTTCATATTGAGAGCAGCCCTGAGGAGAAGGACTTGGGGATGTGGGTGGATGAGAAGCTCAACATGAGCTGGCAGTGTGCACTTGTATGGCAGTGTGTGGCCAACCATAACCTGGGCCACATCAAAAGCAGCATGATCAGCAGGTCAAGGGAGGTGACTCTGCCCCTGTACTCTGCTCTTGTGAGACCCCCACCTGGAGTACTGCGTCCAGCTCTGGGGTCCCCAGTACAAGAAGGACATGGAGCTGTTGGAGCGAGTCCAGAGGAGGCCACAATGATGATCAGAGGGCTGGAACACCTCTCCTGTGAGGACAGGCTCAGAGAGCTGGGGTTGTTCAACCTGGAGAAGAGAAGGCTCTGGGGAGATCTAATTGTGGCTTTCCAGTACCTGAAGGGGCCTACAGGAAAGCTGGAGAGGGACTGTTTATCAGGGAGTGTAGTGACAGGACAAGGGGCAATGGGTTTAAGCTGAAGGAAGGTCGATTTAGATTAGATGCTAGGAAGAAATTCTTCCCTGTGAGGGTGGTGAGGCACTGGCACAGGTTGCCCAGAGAAGCTGTGGATGCCCCATCCCTGGAAGTGTCCAAGACCAGGTTGGATGGGGCTTTGGGCAACCTGGTCTAGTGGAGGGTGTCCCTGCCCATGGCAGGGGGGTTGGAACTAGGTGATCTTTGCAGTCCCTTCCAACCCAAATGGTTCTATGATATGTGGTATTTACTGCCTGGTGCTTTCTTGAAAAGAGCTAGGTTTTGCATAAAACTCAGAAATTATGTGGGATGGACTTCATTTTCCGCAACAGGGAGGAGATGGATCATGGAATTGTAGAATGGTTTGAGTGGGAAGGGACCTTAGAGATCATCTAGTTCTAACCCCCATTCAGTGAACTCAAAATTTTGAGTCTAAAACTAGCGTTATATACAGAACTACATATGGTCTTCCAGGATTAATTTGATAGTTGGGGGGGGTGGCAGAGGCAAAATGCTGCTTCTCATGGACTTGAGTCCTTTATCTTGCTTTATAGTAAAGTTAAGTTGTGACAAACAGTTTTTGTCAGCCCTTGCAGGATGGCAGAACTCTTCCCTAGTGGAATAGTAGAATTATCTTGGAAAGGAGTGGACACAGAAGGTGAGGACAGCTGATGTTTGAGCTGGAGAAACAGTTTTGTGGGGAGGGAACCTCCACACTGAATACAAAGGGAGCAGGAAGGGGTGGTTCAGGCTGTGGTAGAAGAACGTGGTAGAGACTGCAAACAGTTCTGATTCCTGGAGAGGCTTGCGGGGAGGTAAGTTTGTCTTTAAAGAGTATCAGCTTTAAACTTGTTACAGAGGCTGAGAAGAGGTTGATAGAGGACTGCTAACATTTTGGCAAGTGTTTGGGCAGGGGATGCTGGATGCTGCCGCGTTGTGGACTGCTGTGAAACCTCATCATGGAACAGTAAATGCAGTTGCTCAACTGCAGCATGTTACTCCACTTCCAGTGAGCATTTGGCTTCTGTATTTTACCTCAGTGACCCAGTAAAATGAAATAGGTACTTCACTTAATGTTATGCCTGGATGCTTAAAGCAGGCAGGTAACATTCAGCTAGGAAGTGCATTTGTTAATTTATTTTGTGAACAGCAGAACTAGACTAGACTGATTTCCCATGGTGTTGACTTGTCCGGCCGTACCACACTTCCCTCAACTTCATCCTTACTTTGGCATTTCCCACCCTTGCTCACACCATAGCACCTTCAGTCTTGCCTCCATCCATCTCCTCTCTCTCACCTACTGTGTCAGTAGTTAATACATTTAGTTTGAACTAAAACCCCTGTACCTGCAGCTCAGGCATGATTGAAATCTGTAGTTTTAAGGCTAAAAGCAATGCATCTACCAGATAGGAAAGTGCTTATTTACAGTTAGATCAGGTCTCC